TCAGGGAGCCCCCCTACTCACCTCTTCCCCCCGCTTTCTAGTGTAAGTGAGGAAGCGGGAACAACACCTCTTCTCCTCCCTCCCTTATTCGGGGATGGGGGGGAACAATTATTTCCACCTCCCCCCCCTGAACAATATGGGGTTGTGGGGCGCGAAAAACTCCTGCCACTGCACTTGAGCCCTGGACTGGAGGGGCCCAGAACACACTTATTGCCACTGCACTTGTGCCCCGGATTGGGGGGGGGGGCAGGACATACCTACTGCCACTGCACCTGAGCCCTGGACTGGGGGGGGCCCAGGACACACCTACTGCCACTGCACCTGAGCCCTGGACTGGGGGGGCCAGGACACACCTACTGCCACTGCACCTGAGCCCTGGACTGGGGGGGGCAGGAAGTCAGAGCCGATTGCAGCACCAGAAATGTTAGTCTGCTCGGAAGTAACAGGTCCTCAGCCTAAGCCGCCAGAGAGAAGGCTCCTCCTCCAACAAGGCAGGTGAACTCTCGTTCCATCCCCGAGAGTCGCCGTTCTTTCCTACACCAGTCCTGAGGCTTGGCTGCGCTCTGCCAGTGTAGCTTAAACCACAGGAATTTGCCTCCGTATTTCTAAAGTCACAAACTGATAACATTCTGATATGGGAGCTGCCAAGACCAAGAGGTGCGAGGCAGGGGGATTCTGACTTCAAACTGCGCCCCCCACCCCCGCCATAAGAATTCATTTGTTTGGGAAGATAAGCTTGAGGGTGCACCCAAAGCAAAAGAGAATGAAGAACGCTGAACCTCAGCCTCTGAAACTCCTGGTTCTCTTTTGGATCCATAGTCCCTGTGCAGACAACCAAATGGCATGCTGGAGCATAGGAACACCTATGTGGAATTTCTGCCACATGGGCCCCGACGTGACCTCACCGATGTGTGACACGTCCTGTGCTGTGCTGGGAGACTTTGCCCGAGGCACCCGGACAAGAGGCAAGGCCTTCCTGTGCGAGACACAAGTACCGGGTGCGTCTGTGTTTCATATGGCACAGGCATTCTAATCGCCGGATCCCCCAGAGAGAGTACAACTGTGGCTCTGCGGATCCTCCCGAGCTCCTGGCCACGGGCTGCACACGCACACGCAATGAGGAGAAATCGGGCAGTTACCTGCAAACAGGGCGACGTTGGCATGTTTTGCGTCGTACGGGCACCGGGCCATCCCACTAAATTCATCCCCAAAAGGTTCCAAGGTATCTATCTGAGGGAGGCAAGCAGACCTCATTACCAACAAGAGCAGTCTCAGCCCTGAAGCCTGGAGGGCCTGTGCTGTGCTGGGCTGCCCACACACGTGCTTGCAGACCGTCCTCGGAAATGTCTGCTGGCTTCAAAGCAGGAAACGGGCTGAGAGAGCCCGAGGCACACGACCAGGGTCCCACAGCGGGGAAGAGTCCGAAACGTGGCCGTGGCTGCTGGACTCTTAACCGCTACAAGAGATTCTCACGTCCTGTGGAATGGTCCAGAAATAAGCACTCTAAACCTAGGAATTTCAAAGGCATCCACAGGAAAAACCTCCCCGCTCCCCAGACCTGCCCCAACGATCTGTTGTCTTGGATCCTTCACAGAATGACCTCAGCTTCTGCTCTGTCTGTCTGTGCCCGAGCCATGCCCCCTCTTGGGACTGACCCCCAGCAGGACACACGACAAGTTCTTGGGGCAGCTGGCCGAACGTTACGGCTTCAGCCAGGGTGCACAGACACGGGGCCAAGCAGAGCTGACGTGGCCCTGTGCACCTGCCTTAGGTCCCAAAGTCACTGCAGACTCAGGCATGGCGGCTCTGAAGGTGGACCAGCTTCCAATCACACGCCTGGGAATCGGGGCTCACGCAGGTCAAGAGCTGACCCCGGCATGGGGAAAGGATACACAGGGGGCTGTGGGTTTCCTCTTTTTTTAAGGGTGCCCCCTTTTATCAGATGGCAGAGCTGCAGTGAGTGAACGCCGGGAGTAGGCAGGAGTGGGGGACTGGTCTGTGACTTGGGGAGGTCCAGGGACGAAACGTCCGCCTGACTTGGAGCTGCTCCTCCCGGGAGCAGCCTTGGGGAGGGGCAGCCCGACTCCCACACGAAGGCCCAGGAGGGAGCGCAGGTTCAGAGCCACAGTCGGCGGCTGCACCGGGGTTATCCTGGTTCTAACACGCTCGGCCTGCTGCCGCTCTGAAACAGTTTAAGTCAAGGCCCAGCGCAGAGGCAGAGACGGAAAACGTCTCGCGCTCCCATTCTGACTCCCGTCGGCACGGAGCTGGCAGGCCATGGTGGGGACTGGGCTTTTGAGTGGAGAACAGGGGTGGTTTTTGCTTTGCGTCTTTGGCCTGGGTCGGTTGATAAGCACTATGGAGAGATGGAGAGGCCGCCATTCCCACATCACTGGCAAAGCCACCTGTCACCCTGCGCCTGTACCGCTTCTCAGAGCAGTGGACTCAGTGCACCGCATGGGGATGGGGGCGGGGCGTTCCTGTGCCTTCCCAGAAGCCTGGGCCCTGCTTCCGCCTCTGCAGGAGTGCTGGAACCGGGAGCAGCGGCGGCGTTTGCCCCAGGTGGGGCATCCTGGGAAGGGAAAGGTGTGAAGACTGAGCTAGACCACTGGGGCCTGTGCGCCACAGTGACAGGATGCAGAGGGGTGGCGCTGACGGTGGGATCCAGCAGGTGGTGCCGGACAGCTGCCAGCTGCCACCATAAGCCATGGAGCCCGTCTTCATGTACAAAGACTTGGTCTTGTGTCTGTGATGGATTTCTTTGTTCCAGAAGTGGCTTCAAAAATGTTGTCTTAAAAGTCAGATTTACCTCTACTGGGGGATGCAGGGTGTCCCTTGTGTTCTGTGCCTGAGCTGAGTGCATCCGTGCCTTGCCCACCTGCTGCCCCCCCTCCATGGTACTGCTCTGTGCCTCGCCCACCTGCTGGCCCCCCTGCCCTCCGTGGTACTGCTCCGTTCCAAGTGTGAGATGGGGAGCCCGCACCAGCCTCTTGGTCACTGGATGATGAGTGACAGCGACTCCCCGGCGTACATCTATCTGCCCACGCCTCTCCCTCAGCCATGGCCCGCTGGGCTCCCTGCACTGCTGGGACCACTCACAGCACAGAGCAGAGCCCCGCCCAGCCTCTCTGCTCCGTCTCCACTCCCTGCCTGCAGGAGCGGCTGCCTGGCCAGGCTCTCACGAGGTGGTCTGTCTCTCCTCTCGCGGCTGATCACTCCGGAACCCTGCTGCCCTGGGTCACTTGGGCAGTTCCTGCCTTCCCTGTCCTGTCTGGGCCCTCTGTCCCCTTTGTGTCCCTGTCACACTAGAGCCCAGCACCAGCAGCCGGGGAAGCCCCTGCAGCCCCCAGGCAGCCGCCTCCCGGTGCCCTCTGCCGAGCACGCCCTGCCACCTTGACCTGGCCGAGCTCGTCCCCCTCGTCTTGGACCAGAGCCAGGCATTCATGCATCCACGGTTTCATGCACAGACATGACGGACCCAGTGGGAGGCACGGATAACCAGAGACGTGGCCCCTGTCCTTGTGGTGTCGGCCGGGGGATGAGGACAGCAGGGGCGGGGTGGGGGGGTGCCATCCACCTTCTCCTGAGCGTCCCGCAGCTCCCCCCGGCCAGGCTGCTGAACACCACTACCGCGGCAGCCCCTGCGACTCTCGTTTGCATCTTCCTGCACACTTAGTGCAGGTTTCCTGAGACAAAGAGCATCGTGAGGAGCCAGCTTCATCGGCAGCTCTGCTGCACGGCGGTGGGTGCCCAGGTCCTCACCACACCGCTGCCGGCTGCAGCAGGGCTAACTGCATTTGCTAACTCTTGGAGAGCTCACTGGTTTTTGGTTTTCTCCTGTTGCATCAAGGCCAATGTAAGTGAGGCCACTGTCAAGTCGGCTGGGTGCTACATGGAATGAACTTTCTGAGTTCGGGACAGTGCTACCTAGGGGAGAGTCTTGGGTGTCCGATGCCCTGGTGCTACCTTGTAGATTAGGAATCACTCGCCGTGTAAGTGTGGCTCTGTCTGTGCTCAAACAGAGCGGGGAGGGGGCGAGTGAGGGACTCCACGTGGTATCCCACGTGGGCAGTGACTCAGACCCTGCAACAATAGAGAATAGGGCCACAGAGAAACCAACTCTGCTGGGTGGCTCTTCAGGGAGTTGTCAATCAGCCCTGAACAAACAGGAAGCCAGCGTGGGGCTCCCGGCATGAGCGCGGCGGGGCGCCTGGCTCCCCCAGACAGCCGGCGCTTACCTTGTAGTTTCTGCAGGAGGGGTTGAAGGCGTTCGTTCCGCACACAAACAGCGTGTCATTGTTCTTCCGGAGCAGGACTTTGATAAAGTTGTGGCACTCGTCCTGAAAGAGAATTCCAAGGCATTGCAGAGTCGGTTCCTCTCCCAGGGCTGCCATCTGCGCATTGGCAGGGTCGCAGGAAAGGGGACGGGAACCACAGGATCAGGTCAACGCGAACAGGGGACAGAGAAGCAGCCGGGACTGGAAGGCGGGAGACTCCACACCAGGAAGAGGAGGCGTCTGGGTGGAGGGGGTTTTCACGTTGCCGGAGGATCCTTAGGCACAAAGCCCTGTGTGTGTGCACGGCTCCTTGCAGGAGCACCCCTGGCGGGCATGGGCTGTGAGCGGCCCGGCAGCTCCAGCACACGGAGATTAAAGCCCTCCAGACGTGGCCGGGACAAGCAATGGCCGGGGGAAGAGGCAGGGGCACGACGCACGGTGGACCTCCACCCGGAGCGCCAAGTGCCTACCTTGTGTTTCCCCTTCATTCTGCACGTGTCTACATCAGCCTGTCTAGATTTCCATGTCAGTTTCTGCGGGGATCGAGAAAGAAATCAATTAGAGCTCGGAGGTTGGCGCGTGGGGTTTTAGGATAATGGCTCCCTCGGGGAGACCGCAGGCCGAACACGTATTTACTGAAAGCTCTCTGCACCCCTCTCCACGACTAATTCACCAGAACAGCAGCAGAGGAGGGCTGCAAATGCTGATTTAATTCGGAACCCCTATCTGTTCGTTAAGCTTCAGCAAGGCCTCCTCTCTGACACTGAGATGAGGGAGGCGGCGAAGGAAAAACAGCGGTGCGGGACTCTCACATCAAAGGCCCAGAGGAACTCGCGAGATGACGCTCACTTTGATCAGACACGTGTCCCCGCCCTTTCCTTTCAGCTGATAAATCAGTTTTCGCTAAGACAGGCTTTCGCCTTAAAATATGGAAGTCATTTTCCTCCACATAAAGGGCACATTCAATTTCGGAGAACAAAGATCCGATTCAGGTTAAAACTCGTTCACAAAAATTCGGGGGCTGCCTCTCCTACTTCTGTGGCACAGACTTTATTAACTAAAATATCGCCACGTGGAGACGGAGGTTACACGTTATGGCTGTCTCAGATGGATAATGACGGAACTCCTGAACCACAGCAGTCACATCAAACTTCATTTTGGAAGACATGGGGATATAACACGAAATAGTTGTGGCACAGAATTTTTGCTTATGAAAACTGATATTTCCCTGGACGAACAGGACAGTATTTTATTAAAGCAATTTAGAAATGACCGAAAAACTCCAAAATCTATATATAGCTAATTCTGAACATGTATTAAACTCAAACCTACCCTCAAATTAGGATTTCACGAAACATGTGCTGGCATTTCTAAATTACTATTAGCAGCTTCATCTCAATAGATGCCTTTAAAATACAGATTCTTGCCAAGAATATCCTAAAAGCCTTGGTTTTAGAAAGATTTATTTGAAAGGCAGAGGTTGGGGGGAGAGGGAGAGATTGTCTGTCTGGTGGATAATGCCCCAGATGTCTGCAATAGCCAGGGCGGAGCCAGGAGCCAGGAACTGCATCTGGGTCTTCCCCGTGGGTGGCAGGGGCCCAAGTACTTGGGCCATCACCTGCTCCCTCCCAGGTGTATCAGCAGGAAGCTGAACTGGAAACAAAGAGTGGCTAAGACTTGAACCAGGCATTTGATACGGTGTCCCAAGCAGCAGCTTACCCCGCTGCCCCACAATACATGCCCCAGAAAGACAGTTTCCAAATGACTTACTTTGCTACAGTAAATTTCTTCTGTGTGTGATGTGTCTATATCAACAGTATAAATATGGTCCCTGTGAACAAAGGAAAATGAACACAGGGTCAAACGCAAGAGGCAAGGCAGTTCGTTTCCTGCAGAATGACTTCTGTGTCATCCAGGGCCGATTAATCCATAGCTGTGTTTTTAGAAGTGCGACCTTGACATGCAGGAACACCAGAGGAGTCTCCTGTGAGTGCTGCCTCCGGGTCACAGCTCTGGCTGGCCACCACCCGTCCTGCTCTCAGGGCCATCTGCCTGATACTCCCATTCTCACTGAGAACTCCAGCAGGTGCATTTCTGCAGCTGCAGGGGGAGGCTCCGAGAGTGCTGGTGGCCTCAGGACCCCAGCACACACACGGTTCACATGCCCCCATGCCCCGGATGCTGGCTGTTCCATGGCCCCAAGCCTGCCTGCCTCTGCACCCCGCGCTGGGAAATGCATGTGCAGCCGTGGCTCTGATGATCTGGCCAACATGACGGACGAGCAGAAAGGTAAAATTCTTTCCAGAAGCCCGTCTCCTCTGGACAGGATGGTCGGTTAAAGCCGCAGTCTCCTGCTTCCATGCACCTCACTGCTTTGCTGAGAACTTGGTCTCTCCGCAGCTGGCTGCTGCGCTCCCCTTGGAAGGGGAGAGACGCAGTCGGCAGCTCAGGTGTGGGGCTATATTTAAACCTCCCCTTCTGTGGGAGCTGAGAACAAGGGCGTTTTTGTCTGGGATTCAGAAGAAAGGAAAGAAAAGAACTACACTCAATGCAGGAGATGGGGGCTGGCGACGGAAAGCAAAACAGCTCATTTTCCCTTGAAATAACATTGACTTTTTCCAAAATGCAGGAAGTCCTGGGGCTGGAAAATTATCCACAGCTTTAAAGCAGGAGCTGCATGGCCCCATGCAGACTCTGGAGTCCCCCTCCTCACTTAGAAGAGGAGGGGGAGGGCTGGAGAGAGCCGGGAAGAAAGGGAGGGCTTGTTTGCCTGTGTCGCCTCACTTCTCGGGGAATCTGGGGGCTACTGCCTTTTGGGCGCGCACAGAGAGGAGCCTGCAGATACAAACAGGCTCTCTCCCATGGAAGCGCAAGCAGCGGGCAGGGCTTCCAGGATCCCTCGCCCACCACTGGGCTGCGGGGATGCGTGTGTGTGCCTGTGTGTGGCTGGTGGCGAGCGGGAGAATGGGGAGGCTGTTTTGGTAAGCTGCTGACTCGAGAAGTTTCTGCAAACTTCAGTCCGGTGCCAGGACTGGGCTGCCCTTTAATTTCCAGGCGGTTTTATTGCATTCGTTTATTACGTGTTGGACTTTATGGGGCTGCTGTGGGCAGGCGCTTTATTGGAACGGAATTGCCAATGGCTTTGGGATCAGGGTGTCGACGACTCTGGGTTCCCCCTGGCCCTGGCTCGCCTGGAAGACTGAAGTAGGAGCTGAAGATAGGAATTGTAAATTAACAGCTGATTAATATGCACTGGCAGCTCCTCAGAAAGCTCTCAGATTGCCCCCTTTTGGCATGGCTTGTTTATGTTAATGAGCAGTTTAGAGATTAGAAAAAAAGGAGAATTCACCAAGTGGATAATAATAAAGCAGAATTGAAAGGGATTCCTGCCCCGCGCCTCACTCAGTCCCGGGCTTCTGGACGGACTTGGCTGGCAATCGCTGACACCAGTTGTCTGGAAGAACTGGGAAGCCTTTTAGAAATAGAATCCTATGAATGAAATCTCCTTTTGGACAATGACAATCTTTTCCAGCCCCCAGGAGTTCACATGGCCCCAGCAAACAGAAGCGGGGCTTTCTGGTAAACCCCAGACCAGGGTTGGGGTCATTCCCAACTGTCCACGAGTGCACCCCAGGATCCAGTGCTGCCCTTCCTGAATTCAGTTCATGGAACATAAACCGAATTAATCCTAGGACTTCCTCTTCCGCTGAGCTGTGCCGCCACGGCTCCGGCCCGCAGGCATAGTGTCCCTTCCTGCTTCCCAGCCTGGATCTCTCGGTGCAGGGGTGGGTGATGTGACATTAAGAAGAGAGACCCTCTAAACGGGTCCACGGATGGTTGAAGGGTGTGCATGGGAGGTAAGTGTGAAGACCGAGTTTGTCGATGCCCAGGTGTTGTAAACTTGACCGTCAATGACAGATGAGAGTGTTTTTCAATGAACGTCTTCCTTCTGTTTCTCTTTCTTTTCCCTGTGGTGGGGAGCTAGGACAAAGTCGTCTTGGTCCCTAATGAGCTGAGTAATGGCCACGGGTCAGCCTGCCCGGCACCTGGCTCCCAGCACCAGAGCTCCCCCATGCTGCAGTCCACACGCGCCGGGTAGTGCACGGCATCCCCCAGAGACGAGCTGCACCCAACGTTCACGGAGGTTCTCGAGCCGACCTCTCTCCCACAGATCTCATGCTGCATCGTGTCTTCTGACCACCACTTAGCTGGGGACTAACAGTGATGGCCTCGGTGGCACCGTGGAGGCCTCCCCTCGGTGCCTGCTTCTAGGGCATTGCCAGGACGATCGTGACACCCCCTTTCCTCCCTGGCAGCAGAACAGGGGTGGCTGTGTGGCTTCCAGGGCAAGGCCGCCCTGGCTCAAACCCTGCCTCTGCCGCTGGCCGGTCCATTCCCTTCTCTCTCGCTCCGGTTCCTCCACTGAGACCTGGGCATATTTAAGAGCTCCTTCCCGGAGGGTCTCTTCCAGGATTGAATGAGTTGGCATTGCTAAGACTGACAGCTCTGTTTGCAACTTACCCACCTCAAGACACTGGCCTGTCTAAATGATACTGTTGCAATGGATGAGTAATTATTTTTTTTTACTTGAACCAAATTTAAATAAAACCTTTCTAAAGATATGCGATTATCATGCTTTCTTAGGTGACACTGCCATCCTTTCAAAACAAAGATATATCCTCTATGTTTATTGTGAAAGTGCCCATCGGTTGACCATACACACACCTTCCCGCATACCTAATACGTGTTTCCGCATTTGGCTTAACAGGTGCCCATGAGTGAATTGCTCTATCGGGTACCTTCGTAAGGATCTGCCTGTATGTTCAAAGTTAACAGTGGCTCGTTTGAGTCTGTGCCCGAAAACGTGCAGTGCTTACTTTTTTTCTGCATCCACATAAAACCAAACAGGCACAGGAAATCTTGCAAACAATGGCTTGCCGAGGTGCAGGTGACCTCAAATCAAGTCACAGTTCTGGGGGACCTTGGGATCGGGGAAATGATACACAGATGGGCCAGTTTAGGGGCCTGGGCTGAGGGGGCAGCCGGCAGCGGCAAGGATGGCTTACCTGGCGGCAATGTAGAGGGTTCTGTTCAAGACCATGACCATCTGGATGTCCAGTCTGTGTCTCTGTGTGCTGTTCCGTCCTGGCTTGTGGCCCACAAACACCGGATACTGTTTTGTATCTGTGAAAAGAAGAACCGGGGCAGCGTATCAGGCAGAGAGAGAGGGGACAGGGCAGGAAGGGGGCGGGGCTCCCCAGACCCTCAGAAGCGAGCGCTTTAAGGGCGCCGGGCACCGCTCACTCCCAGATGATGAGAAGCCTGGCCCCGGGCTTCCAAGCGCCGCGGATTCTGGCTTGCTGGCTTGTTTCTCTTTCTGGGGCTCCACTCGCCAGCGAAGGCTTTGCACGAAGGTGCTCTTTTCTTGCCCAGCTTTCTTTTCATCTCTGTGCAGGGCTAAAGCCTCAGGGGCCGACTGCCAGAGATCTTGTCTCGGGACCAGGCTGTTTCAAAGCGGCCTTCCCATCAATCAGCACAAAGGCAATGAGCTCTGGAGGCGAGAGCTCGCGTCCAGGAGCCAGGAGAAAAATACCGTCTCCACAGGCGGCCCGCGGGAATAATCCCTATTGAAGGCAGCTCTGCGAGGCTGGTTGGCATTCGAGGAACTGTGGGACGCTCGCTCCGGAGGGAAGCAGTTGGCCCATCTCGCGGAAACATGGGCTTTGACAGCACAGGGTCAAATTGAGTGTAGCCAGTCCGGTGATCTGGAATGTTCCCTGGCTTGGAGAGTTGGTGAGCCCACTTCTCCTGTCCTCCGGCAGCTCTCGGGCTGAGAGTGGGCCCTGGGTAATAACCTCTGACCTTTACAAATGCCCACGGCCTTTAACCCTTCGGTCTCCAGAGCCCTGGCAGTCCTCCAGTGCAGGGAGGGAGATGAGTCACCCGAGGAAGGCAGGCTTTCTCTCGCAGAGTGTGGGTGTGGGTAAGGACTTGAGAACCACTGAGCAACGTGGGCTTCGACCCAGCGCTCCAAGCCCTGCAGTGGCCGTGCCTGCTCCCAGCGGGTGTCTTGCTAGACAGCCCCGAGCGCATTTTATTCCCAAGCGAACTTGAGTCAAGCTGATGGCATGCTTCTCTTTCCCCTGTTCACTGCCAAGGTCGCTCCTGCAACATTTCAGCTGTCTCTGCTCCCTGCATCTGAGTGATGGTTGCGGGCTGATTGTCAGCAGCACCCATGGGTAGGGGCCCCTTCTGTCCTGGGGCACCTAAGACAGAAGACTTACCCTAGACGGAGATGGGTGAAGGCTCGCAGGGTCTGGTGTGTTGGGCTGGGGGGCTGGGCCATGGCAAGAGTGCTGCATCGCGCCCTTTGGTCTCTGTTCTCTAACTGTGCACCTGTCAGTGTGCTGTTCCACCTTTTTGTAAAATGATGTCCTCTGCAGCCTGGAGTTTGCTTTTGAGTAATTGCTGGATACTTATTGGGGGAAATGCTTTCACCTTTGCTATGACAAAACAATCTTTGGTGGGGCACAGAGAAATGTAGGGAGTTGGATGCTCCACCCAACACCTAGGCAGGACTTCCCTCTCTCCTGACAGACAGCCGAATTCCGAATCACACCAGCATCTACCATCCCTGACAGCCAGCAGAGGCCAAAGGAAACTTCCAACAGTTAGCAGGGGTGCTCTGGAATTCAGGATCACCCCGTATCCAAGTCTAACAGAGTCTTCTGTTAGAATGAATCTCAAAGGAATGTCCTTTTGTATTTTTTTTCTCTGAAGCACACTAGTGCAGTTACCATTTTCTGTTCCTAGCTTGTAAAAGCATCAGGTATTGATCCTATCTCAAGGCGCGGGACACTGGCTGGCTGGATGAGGGTGTGCGGGGCTGGCTGTGGGCCGACTCTCTGATCCCCACATCCGTGTCCCCAGAACGACAACGGATGGGCTCTGTAGCTTGCATTTCCTCCTCTGTCACCTGCACAGCAGAGAAGGAGCAATGACGTCTCCTGTTCATTTGGTCTTTGCGAGGCCGATGCAGGCTAGAGCGTCCACAGAGGTGGGGAGGGAGGGAGAGCTTGAGGGAGGGAGGGAGGGAGGAGCAGGGGTACTCACAGTTGCCATGCGAAATACTGATTGGCTCAGAATCCTCTGGGAAGCCGGCCCCCGCCAAGTGCAGCAGTGTGAAACAGAGCAGCAAGGCTTCTGACCTCATAGTAGTTCAGCGGGCAGGCTTGACTCCTCTACTTCACCCTGCCAGAGAGCACAGAGGGGGTTTGGTTGGTTTGCAGGTCAGCTTTGTTCACGTCCATAAACGGTGGCCTTGGACGTGAAGCCCAGAGTGGAGCCTCCGCTCCCATCTTCTCCGCGCAAGCTCACAGGTGGCTGTGTTTTACCCAGGGAGCCCTCCTCGCGACCCTCCCCGCCCAGGCATCTCCGCCCTTAGGGAAGCCTTCTACCAGACGCGGGACACACCGCTCTGAGCCTCTGTCCGGCGCCATCCTTCGGCCTTCATAGGCACTGCTGTGGTTTGAACCTGTTACCCCAACTCCTGGGTGGGAAACATTCTCCATGGCAACAGCACTGGGAGGTGGGGCCTGGGAGGAGGCTCCGCCCCCATGAATAATGGCTCAGCAGGTGCGGGAGTGGGGGTTGGGCCTGCCCCTCCCTGCCCCGTTCTGATGCAGCACCCAGGCCCTGAGACTTTGTGTGACCAGCAGAGCCCCTTCCTTTACAAACTGCCCTGTGGCGGGCACTTGTTAGAGCAGAAGCTTGGGAAAGTCTGCGTCCCAAACAGTGTGGGTAGCAGAACAGCACCTGTTTCCTGTTGAAGGTAAATTCTCTTTCTTAGGGGGCTTACGGAGCTCAAAACCTGCCCTTGCTCCAGACTCGTTCTTTTGGGCAACCCAAGTTCTTTCAGAAATGTGAAGTCGCTGTCAATAGCGAAAAAAATACAAAACCAAACCAGGTTTGTGATAATGACCTGGATTTCCAACTTCTGTATGAGAATCAGTTATGTCGTAGCAACATGGATGTCACACACACATATACATGCGTGCACCTGCACACACATGCTCACACTTGTGTGCACCCATGCACACGTGTGCCAGGGCACCTGCTCACTCATTTCCACCACCGGCTTAACCTCTTCACTCAGGTTTCGCACCCCTGGTTTCGGTAAATAAAATCTCACAGTCTACATTTCAGAAGAAACAGAGGGACCGTTTCAGATTCTCTGAAGAAACCACACCCTTCCAAACAGTGTTGTTGGTTTAAAACAAATCCTGTCTATGTTTTAGTCTGAAGTACTACCCTGCAACGAACCAGCAGAGAATACAGACGCTGGCTCTCCCGTGCTCCCACGTGCAGGTGGTTGAAGACGCTCCTCACTGTGGAAGAGTTCTCCTCCTCGGTGGAAACACACGCCAGTCCCACGGGGGGCCGCAGGAGGCAGAGAAATGACTCCTCCCCCTGCACACACCCCGGAGCGCGGGCAGCTCTACACAGGCGTGGCTCTCTCTGGAAAATGAACGTCAAGGGGCTATCTTTTCATCTCTCAGACAGTAGCCTTTGAAGCAGCCTGCCAGAGATTATCTTTTGTGAGCAAAGCCATTTTACGGTAGTCCATCAATCACTGAAGATCTGTGTGTAGAGACGTCGAAACAGGTAACCCGGCCGTCTTTGAAAGTTAATTTGGCAAACAAACTGCTAACTTACGGCTTTTTTGGAGCGCCGTTGAATATTAGATACCTGTGTCTCTTTTCTTCATGCCAAAAACAGCACTAATAAGTCTTCAGTACTGAATCGTAACTTATAATTTCACAGACACAGCTGGGTCTTAATCATTTCTTCAATTGCAAAGTGCACCTTAATTAATTTGCTTTATCTTGAAAATCAAAGAGGGACAGAGGTTGAGAGAAAAGCCTGCACAATTCCATATCTCCATCTTTGATGTGAAAATTAAAATTACACTTTAAATGATGACTTGCCTGCCAGGCAGTCCCTGGCTACAGACACAAGCAAGTACTTGGGGCCGGGTTCAAAGCTGCCACCTCGTCCTTCATCCAGGTGCCAAGTCCTCCCAATCTGGAGTCTGAGCCCCCAGGACAGGCTCTGGGAGGCCCACGTGCGTTGCAGGCACCTGCCCCGGGTAACACTGCAGGGCGAAGCTCACTGACAAGAGCGAGCAACACACGGGCTCCCGCCCCCATCGGCCTTCGCGGCAGGTGAGGAGGGCCGAGGGCTGCAGAGCAGGGCACTGGGCCCCTCGGGGCACACAGTGACAGCCGGCGGGGGCGGGGGGAGAACCTAGCCTCAGAAGCACACCTCTCGTGCCCTCAGGAGTCTTTGCAAGTCCACGCATGCACTTACAGATCGGTTTGTCCTGCCGGGACAAGAGTCTCCATCCTTCAACAACCACACACTTCTCTGTGTGAACGTCCCACGAGCCCGCAAGACAGAGACCTGCTGTTTTACCACCGTCCCCGGTTTTAATTCTTTCCACGCTGACATCGCGTGGGGCCGATGCAAAATTCTCAACCCCAGAAATCGGTAGGAAGAGTGACGCATTCGCAAGAAATCCGTCCAGCGAGTCGACGGCTCCTTTGAATCCTCACGTACGGCCAGGATCGTGGCCGAGATAGGTCACTGAAGCATCTCCAGGTTTCTAGGAGCTGGTGTATGTGCCTTTCTGTCATCGTATCATCAGGAGTTAGCCTGGTCGTCACAGGGCTGAGCGTCCTGCAGGACTGGTCAATCCACGTGAACACTTGGTGCTTTTCCGTAGCTGAAGTTTGGATTCTTCCTTCCCACCACGCATCCCTTGTACCTATGTAGGCGGCACAGTTCCTCGTTGCAAACGCGGCGGCGTGCTGGGATCCCAGCACAGCAACACCGCCACGTCCCAGCCCGCAGAAAAAGAACCCAGTCTGCCGCCTGAGACCACGGCGACGCAGCAGAACACACACAATCCAGAACCTTCCTCTGGCTCTCACAGCTCCAGCCTGCTGGGCTGCGGTGTTTCCCAGCCCGTTCAAGTCGTTTTTGAGACTTCGAAAAGAGTTATTTATGGGTACCTGCCAACGTTTGTCTACTAGCCTGCCTCCAGCTGTCTCCAGCCACGGTGTGACTCAGAGCTCAGCCACTAGTTCTAAAGTCAGGTAAGGGCAGCCAGCATGAGGATCCTAAACAGAGACCTGTACTTCCCAGGAAGTCTCTGAGTGTGCCCTCGGATTGTCCCAGCCTGCCACCATTCTTAGCCTTTGAAAAATACACCACTTGCTATAAAGTTAGGGTTCCACTCTGCCCAGTGCACGCAATTTTAATAGGCACCTGCTCAGGGAATTTATTTGATCTATTTAGCTTCATCTAAAATTAATTTGTGTTTGACTTTCTACGCACTCTGAGCCCAGACAAAAATTTCTTTGACTGTAATTTCTCCCGACGGCTTTTAAGACCAAATTGAGTCACGGAGCCGTGTTGCAGAAATGGTGCTGTGACTACTGGCCGCCTTGGGCAAAATGAAGAGAACGCTGCTTAGCCGGCAACGTAGTCGTCAGGTGTGGCAGAGGAAGGGCCCAGCAAAGGGGTGACGAGGAGGCCGGTCTGGAAATCCTGTGGGTGCTCTTGCGCAGGTCACTGTTTCCTAAAATAATAAAATCTTCTCAATGACTGGGACCCCCCCCCCACGCCTTTGTCACACAGCAGATCACGGGGCCAGCAAAGCACAGAGCGCAGGGGACCGCAAGGGAACGGGAACCAATGAGGATGTCTGAGAATGAGGTCACCCATGGCCACATCGCACTTCAGATCCATCAGGCTAATTGCAGAAGGCTGCGGGGCCTAGGAAGCCAGTGCCAGCGTCCCCGGCCCAAGCAGCCCTCAGGCTCAGTCCTGACACGAGTTCTGGTTCTCTGCCCACTTCCTCCCCAAATCCTGCTCTGGAAAATTCTACCCGGGCTCATAAACAAGTGGTACTTGGCCAAAGCTAATGCACAGAGAAGAAATAAGGAATTAGCAACATCTAAAAAAAATGTAAGATTTAACATAAACTCCAGACGACGAACACTGACGTAGCTTTGCCGCCCTCTGTCTCACGTGGTGCCTGGAGCTGAGCAGGGCTGCCGAGCAGGGCACGAGCCCTCGTCAGTGCTCACCCATCAGCCCCGCCCATCTCCCTCCTGCAGGCTCTGGGTACCCGAGCAGTGGACTGCTGCACCCTTGTTGTTAGCTGCTGTGGTTGCCCTCACGTGGACCTTGTGGGCCCCAGTGTGTGTACCCAAATGAATGCACATTGCTCGTGACCAGCTGCTTGCTCCATGCACTCCGTGTGGACCTGGGCAGTGCATCAGTACAGGCGCCTGGCAGCCTTGGCTGTATGGGCACAGCTTGTGTCCCAGGGATACGCAGGGCAGCATCTTCCAGAACGTTGGCGTCCAAGGGACATTTAATAGTGGTAATGACATCAAAAGACTTTGGGCCGGGAAACTTGCAAAACTCTTGGATAAAAACTCCAAGTGTGGCCTTGAGATTCAGAGGAAATGATGGTACTAACAGGTTTTTTTTCCAACAAGGAAGAGACATTTATGACCATGATGCAGTAATTTTTTTTAATGAAAAGGGCATTTTCCACTGGCATCCCAGGAAGCTGTGAAGGTTACCAAGAGTTCAGGGTGCTGTTGCTGAAGGAAGGGCTCCTAACGTGCGACCCCGGGCAAGGCGGCGTCCCCGCCGACTCAGCCGTGTCTGGAAACCTGGGGGCTCGTGCAGGCTCTGGGATTGCACTCTGCTGGGTGATTCCCGCTGAAGAGGAGCCTGCGTGTGTAAGAGGGTGATCAGGGAGAGACCCCAAGCCAGGCCACTCCAGTGACACGTGTCGCAGAGCCGGTGACACTTCCCCAGAGGTGGGCGGTCAGGGAGAGAGGAGGCACGGGGTGGCCAATGGAGGCAGGCTGGGAACTGGCGTCCCCAAGGCTTCCTCCTGCGCCCCGAAGGGCAGTGGCGCAGGACAGAGCGGAGCAGGTGCAGCACTGTGCACCGAGACCTGTGTTCTTTCCCAAGAGGGCGGGGCACAGGGCCCTCCTTGCTTCCGACTTCTTGGCTGGTTGCTGGTGACCAGCATGGGCCTGGTAACACCAGAGGCAGGGTGCCCGGCCTGGCCCCAGCTCCAGCACCCACGTTCTGACGCGGACGGCGAGGTCGCTGCTCTTATCACCACGTCGCACTCAGAAGCTGGCCGATCCTTCCCATTCCTC